AATATCAGATAGATTGGACAACACAGAAGAAATAGAAGCATAAATGCTAACGCTTGCTTCCTGGTCGCTTCTCCACTCCAGGACACACCCACCCTGCGTCCTGATTGGACAGACCATAAATTCGGTTGGGGAAATCACTTTCAATGAGCGGGTTCCCAGATGTATGTGAGTGGAGCTGGGCGGAGCGAGACATGCATCTGGCTGTTGTCAGGTTATTAAGGGACGCCATCATCTTTTCCTATTTATATTTCAGATTCAGTCTTTGCATATGTTTTTAAACAATATTTTGTGATAGGAAACACATTTCAGACATGTATTAACAGTAAGGGAGTATTTTATATCTTTTACAAAAAAAAAAGTATATAACATTATTTTTCAGACTCTATGAAGCTCAAACTCGTTACCCATCGATTGGTTGATGCACCAATCTCCCGATCTATTAAAACAGTTTTTTTTTATATAGAAACCAAGTTTAGTCAGATATTAGGGTTAAGACTCGGCCATCACCTACATCAGTCAGGCTCTCCCAGAGGTGGCTGTTCACCGTGTTCTGGTAGCTGTAGCGCTTCAGGTATCGGATGATCCCGATCTCAAAGGCTTCAGGACTCAGAAAATCCCGCAGCATGTTGAGAATGCACGCCCCCTGAAAACATCCAATCAAGACACAGCTTACTTTTAAACAAACTAGGATTCAAGGACATTTCTTTGAGGTGACGATGTGCCTAAATATTTGTTTTTGAAAGCTTTAACTTCCTTTATGACCAAAATAATACCATCTCATGTCTCAGAGAAACCCACTGACCTTGTCATAGGAAACATCATCGAACATCTCCTGGATCTGCGTGGGGTTTTCCACTGGGGTGGATACTGGGTGAGAGGAGCTCAGAGAATCTACCTCCATTGCCTCGAAACACTTGCCCAAGAAGAAGTCATCCTGAGATAAAGAATGAGGAAAATCAGTCCGAATAACGTTTGAAGGGACAATGAAGGTAGAGGAGCTGGACTCTCACCACGTGTAACTCTGGGTAGGTGATGTCAAGCGAAATGAACTCCATGAACTTGGCAAACCCCTCGTTGAGCCACAGGTCATTCCACCACTCCATCGTCACCAGGTTCCCAAACCACTGAACAGGAAGTGGAAAAGATAAAAACAACCTGTAACCTCGTAGAGAGCATTAAAGACAAACTTGAACCGATATCCGCCTGCTTTTCCACAAAGCCAACCTGATGTGCGAGCTCATGGGCGATGACCTTAGTGATGCCCAGTTTGTCTGAGGCGGAGGATCTTTCAGGATCGAAGAGGAGGCCAGTCTCCCTGTAGGTGGTCAGACCCCAGTTCTCCATTGCACCTGACTGGAAATCAGGGATGGCAGCCAAGTCTGCAGGAAGCATCATAGCGCAGGAGTAAAACATGGAGCAGCTCCTCTACAACGTCTGACCAATGAATGTTTCATGTCTGAATCAGCTTTTATAGTGATGCTTCCTCGTAGCGTGAACCCGATCATTCAGGATCATTCTCACTTAAAAGAGAGAGAAGATAATCATGTGTGATGCGTTTCCACTGACCCTGCTTGGGAAGTGGGTATGGGATATCGAAGTAATCATCATAGAAGTCCAACAACTTCACGGCAGCATCCAAAGCAAAGGCCGTCTGATCAATCTTCTCTGGGACAGCATAGACAGAGATCTGAAGGCAATCAAGGTTAAACAAATAAGCTGTGGATAAGTGCAATAACACTGAAATTAAGTATGGGACATCAGGAGATGTGAAAGCTCACCTTTACTCCGTGTTTAGTTGTTTTGCTCACAGACAGGAAGTCAGAGACGATGTAGGCCACCAGGTAGGTGCTCATTTTGACGGTTGTGTCAAAGTGATCCTCAAGCAAACCGCCTGGCAGCTCAACTGTTTTAACCTGGGAACCGAGAAAGTGCGTATCGCTACAGTTTGTCCCGTTACAAAAAAGAACCACCATGCGGTTTCTCTGGATTTATGTGATAACGAAGCAGGTAACTGTGAAGTGGAAGAAAAGTCTTACTAAACCAGTGTGCATCGAATCCCATTTTATGTTGGTCATTTTTATCAATCTATCCAATCTTTTAAGGGGTAATGGTAATGCTTCTCACTTCTCCAAAATATAGTGTTTGATTTTTTTTCTGTCAAACAACAGACAAACGACTCATTATAAGAAAACAAAACAGCAATATAAGCATGCTTAAATCTATATAGAGGAATCTAAAATGTGCATGAAAGGATTTATGCATATATAATCCATATCCTAACTTTTCTGTATAATCTGTATATAGTTTTGTCATATTTATGTATTTTATAGCCTCTTACAATTACTCTCTGTTCATATAGACCTTCTATGACTCTGTTGTGGCATCAGCCATCTTCTATGGAGCTGTCTGGACTCGGTGTAGGAGGTGGGAAACAAAAAAAGATCCTAACTAAATTAACATTTCTGTTGGATAATGTTTCCCACCCCATGCATGAAGCTGTTTCAGAACTGGAGAGCTCCTTCAGGGACAGACTGCTGCACCTTAAATGCATCAGAGAGCGTTATCACAGATCCTTCCTCCCAGCAGCTGTAAGACTCTATAACCATCACTGTTCCAAACAACCTCAATAAGATGTTACATTCATGCTGATTTCTTACAGTTTCTATCTTAGTCAGTTAAATATCATGCTGCTGTCATTCTGCACATCTCTGATGTTGCTGCTATTTTCAAATATCCATTACTGTAAAAATGTCCATAGCTGCATATTGGTTATTTATTCTCCAGGTCCATATTTTTATAATGTTTAAAACACTTTATAGTACAGCATTTTGTAGTTTATCTTTTAACTCTTCACTATTATGTTATTCTTATTCATTTTTCTAAGGTCCATATTTTTGTGACCATTTTTTTCCTATAAACTTTTTGCTCCTCTAAACATCAGAATTTCCCCCAATAAAGGGATTTTCTATTCTATTCTATTCTATTCTATTCTATTCTATTCTATTCTATTCTATTCTATTCTATTCTATTATATTCTATTCTAGGCAATACATAGTCTCTGTGCACAAGTAAATAAATATTTATATCCTGTATAGCACCTCTGAAACTGTATTTCGTTAATAAAGTTGAATTCTATTCTATTTAGGGGAATCGGAGTAAGAGGGGTGAATACAAATGGACTCATCACATGGTGACTCTTGTATGTGATCATACACACCTTGGGCATGTTGGAAATGGCTATGTGTCGTGGCTCTCGTAAGATCCGTATGGTAAAGTTGGCTTTGAAGGCTGGCTCGTCAAAACAAGGAAAGGCTCCGCGGGCAAAGGTTGCCTCGAACTGGGTAGATGCTATGACCCTGGATGGGGTAGATCATATACAGCCTTTTAAATCTCCAATTCCAGGATTTTAACCAATTAAACTTAGGCTGAAGGAGATCATAGTTGGCCTTACCGGACCTCCCCACTGCTGGTGCGGTAGCTGCCTTTGTAGAACCCATGAAAGCTGTCTGATAAATTAGCAGCAAACTCCAGCTGGACCTCATAGTTTCTGCCCTTGGTCAAAACTGAGTCTGACAGCAGAGCGAGCTGATGGAAACGAGGGTACTCCAACACCCGGAGGGGCCTGATGCCCTCAGGGGCCAGGAGCATTACGTTGGAGATGAGCATTTGCTTTGCATGGAGAATAATAACGCTGGTGTCTTCTCGCACATCCAGACTGATACGAACCACCCCAGTGAAGTCCAGGGTGGTGAGGTTTGGGTGGATGGTCAGGTCATAGTGCAGGGGGCTGATGGTTGTGGGAAGTCTCATACGGTCCCAAGGGAAGGGCTGACCATTGGTGGCCACAGGGGGGTCTTTGGCTTGGCCTTGATTGGGGATCTGAGCTCCAGATGTGTGATGATTGAGAACAAAGAGCAGCAGCAGGACAACAAACATAGTGGCTGGGAAACAGGAAATCCTCTCACCTGGAATTATTATTAAACAGAATAACCAAGCAGGATTTAAATCAGACTCAAAAATATTCACTAAAATAATAATAAAATAACAGTTAAACGGTTTGACAACATAAATACATCAATTCATAATGGCAGAGTGGGTAAAAATAGTTTCGATCTGAGCAAAAACTCCATGTGGACCCAGAACAGTTAGAAGAACTCCATACTTTGTACAAAGTCATATTTCTATGATCCTACAAACTTGGTTATGGATATTTAATGTATTCGTTTAAGAAATGTAAAACTCGTTCTCCTCACCGCTTCGACGTCTGCTGCAGTTTGTTAGAAGTGAAGGTGAAAGAGCCAGAGGCAGGAGGAACTGCTGAAAGGAAGCAGAGGAGAGCTGTCAACATTTAGTTCCGTGTCACAAACTGACTAATTATCAACCTTTCATCACCAAATACAGGCAACGACATCATTTCAGCCTGGTTCTCTGCTGGTACAAAGGTCACAGTAAATTACTGTTTCAAACCCTACTAACTCGTATTAAATGTCCAGTAGGTACCAAAGAAAGCATGACTGTTAATTTCATAGGAACATTTTTTAGGGAAGTACCAGGAAGTCCCGTGTTTTATTTTGGCAGTAACATGTTTGACCGGCAGAGGGAGACATGCTCCCTCACAAATTAAATATTTCAACTCAGGTGCTGCGTTAAGACTATGGTATTATCTTATATAAATATTCCTTTCATTTTTTTTATTGTGTCGCATTTCTTTTATGTTGTTTAATCTTTCCTTTTTTATTTCTGTAAAAAAAACATCTCCCATGTTAATGACACCAGATTTCAATACGTGTGTAACTTTCTACTCACTATAAGTGTTTGTGTATTTAACGTCTCTTTAAAAATCTATTACTTAGGCAACAATATGTGTGCTTTAACAATATTTTTCATTTGTACAAAGATTAATTTGTGTTTTGTTAGGAGTTAATCACAGTTGCTTGAGAACCCCCAGTCTGACTGACT